CGAACTACTTTTAAATAAAGGCCACTAGAGCCAACAAAACATAAAAAAAAAAAAAAAAAAAATTATGTTGATAACTAAATAACATTCTCTGAGGTAAGGTAAGGTAATTTTATTTATATAGCACATTTTCAGCAACAAGGCAATTCAAAGTGCTTTACATGAATTACACCAGGAACAAACAAACAAAAAAAAGACAAAAAGATAAAATAATAAAACTACATATTGGTTCCCCATGTTTCATACGAATAACAATAAGTAATTCATAATGGTAACACTTTATTTGAAGGGGTGTGAATAAGACTGTCATGACACTGTCATAAACATGACATAACATCTGTCGGTAATGGCACGGGGGGACGCCATGCCATTACCGGGGGGTCGGGGGAAGGGGGAAGCCGTCTGGATGAAAAAAAGAAAAAAAAAAAAAAAGAACGCAACACGAGCGCTACGACGCTCGCGCTGGGTTTACAGCTGTGCGGCAGTGAAGGAGACCTGCTGCTGTGCGGAGCCACGCGGGTGTGTTAGAATCATGGCAGCAAACCAGCAAAACGCAAAGAACTTTTCACAGTTTTCCCCCAAACTAACCGACTGAGTTGAGTAAAGCTGTTGGATGCAGGTAATGTTAGCTACAAGATGACTAGCTAATATCAATACAGCACCTTACGCTTAACAAGTAGCCTGTAGGCTACCGATGTTGTCTATGTTCAGCTACGTACATTCATTTTGCCCCTCCCTCCTCCCCTTCAACCAGACAGCCATTTGTAATCCATAGGGGGGGTCCCAGAAAATGTTTGGAAATCACTGGCCTAAAGTAATAAGTACTCCACTGTCTGTAGTCGTTATATGACAAAATGCTAAAACAAAAAAAAACAAACAAAAAAAATGTCAAGGGGTCTGACTGTTCCTGCAGGGCACATGTCAATGAATTCTGTTTCCTGGAATAGGTTTTTTAAACAATTTTTTTTAATCAAAAGATTTGTTTATAGTCTTTTGTGGCAGTACAATGAACAGGTTTTACACATTGCTGTTATGAGTACATTAAACACATTCCTGCACAGTGACATAGATTCTGTTAACTATTTTCAACTGTGTTGAAAGTAGTTCAATAGTTCAAACCTCATTCAGAAGAGCTCGGTTGATGGGACTCTTAGGTTTGTTTTGGCTTTCGCTGCATCGCTGTAACACCGTGACATGACCAAGCTTAGGTAGGTATTGTCGAAAACAATTTGGGTGATCCTTTACAGTCAAGCTGGGTTAAATGAACCCAATGTTGCTGACTGATAAAGTTCGTACTTCTTCCTAATCTCATTTTGTTGCGCCTGTTTTCTGTTATACGCATCTTGCTGCTGCTGTGGGGTTTTCTCTGTTTGGTTTGTTTTTAGTATGTTTAGTTTTGCCCTAACTGTACTTACCAATGGTTTGTTTTGATTTTTTTAATTATTATTTTTTTGACTCAGGATGAAGTTACATAACGGTACAAGTATTTCTTTTTTCATCAAAGTGATCAATAAACAAATCCAGATCAATACGAAGCTACATAGAGAGCTAGTTCCTCAAATTTATTCAATGTATTTAGAGGTTGGAGGCGCATGTGTTGCAGTTGTTCCAAAGAGCTTTTAATTAATTTTCTTTGATATATGATTTTAGTAATTTATACATGTATTATCCTTTTGGCGTTATGGACGAGTGCTATGTGTCTGTGCAGTGTTAACTCTCTGTCCAAGGCAAATGTTTCCCAAGGGAGACGCATCAATAGACTTTGATTGTTTAGTGAACAAAATATGACAATAGTTTTAGATTTTAGATTAGGTTAGCTTAATTTTGGTTGACAGTTCTCAGTTTAATTTATCTTAACTTAGCTTGTAAGTTAGAGTCCTTAGTTTAGAATGCCTAGCTTTCTTTGTTGTATAGTGGAGTTCAGTTTAGAGTTTAAATACTTTTTTTAATTTATTGTTTAGTTTTAGTTTCTAGTTTGTATTTAGAGTTTTTATCAGCTTTAGATTATAGTTCTAAGGGTTGGAATAAGTCCTGATTTTACTTTTATTTTTTTGAGTTAAGATATTCTTTACAATTTAAGCTTTTATATCATCTTAGTTTATTTAGTTGAGTTTTACTTTGCTATAAATAATTTGATGCTGTAGATATAACTTAATTTCAGCTGAGTATTTTTTCCTTCTATTTTTCAATGATTTATTGCATCTGATTTGTCCTGCTTCAGTTTTTTTTTTTTTTAAATCATTATTATTTTGGCATGCTTTCCTGGCTGGAAAATGGCAGAGGGGTGTAAATTAAGCCGACGACACCAGACAGAAAAATATGTTGGGTTCATATCTGTCCTATCTGCATGGAAATAAAATTCAAAGTAAATGTAATAATCTCCAATTCACTTATGTGTGGTTGTAAAACTAAAGCATAACGACAACAAAGTCTGGGACTCTTTAAAGGAAATCATATGGTTTTTATACTTTGAGTATGCTGGGTATGACAAAAACATAAACAAAATCTACATCTTGGATTTGACTTGTTGGCATTAAGGATGTGGAGCCAAATAGCCTGTGGTCCACATGGTAAGGAGTGTGGTTTGTTTCCGTTCAAATGATGTGTGTGAAGCGATCAAGGCGCTGTGAGCTGTGCAGCAGTGGAGCCAGACCTGCTGCTGCTGCTGCAGAAGACTCATCTGTAAAATCAAGTAACGTTTTTGACAACAACAAAAGAAAATGACAACCGGCTTTTTTACTAGTCTGAGGTTTAACATTCTGCTCATTCTGACTGCTGCTTTCCTTGTTGATCTTGTAAATCTGATTAATGGAGTCAAATGGCAAGACAGATTGGTGAGTAATGTTATTGCAGTATTGCTGGCAGTCTTCATAGCTCTGATTTCACTGAGGGGACACATACACACAATCACACATCACCGGTCCGGCTGTTTTCCATCGACTCTGCCCGGGCCATCTCATCACTATTTTGTTTGGATGCTGCTTTTGTCATGTGTCCCAGGCTCAGCGTGGCTGTTTCATCCCTGCCGCGGCTGCGCCCAGACGGTGTGATTAAGTGCCGCTATTACACAGAAACAAACGAAAAGCCAAAAGAGCGCAGTCTCTTTCCTGTAATCGCATCCCTCAGGTGTGATCTGCTCTGTAAGTGATTACAGCGGATAGGTTTGATAGATTTAGCCTCATCAGGAACACGGCAAGCAGCTGCCGGCTTCTTCCTCACAGATCACTTAAAAAAGGCGGCGTGAAACCTTCAGGGCTCATGCAGACATCGTTTACAGTAATCATCCGGAAGCTTTTACAGCAGTAATATTTTTATTATAGTTAGGATGAACTTTAAAGATAAAGGTGAAGTTGTGAACGGTGACAACTTCACACTTTTTCCTGAGTGTATAAGTGATGCACATATGTGGCTAAAAAATTAAAAATAAATCCAAGTAATGTTTTGGAATTTGTTTATGAGAACAAAAGTTATCATAACAGAAAAAGTTTCATCTGAATATGAAACTTTTCATAAAACAATAGAAGCAGCAGGATCTGACAAGAAGTGACAGAATAGGAAGCTTATATTCTTGGGAGGTGATTAGTGCCATGAAAATCAGGTGTAATTAAATATTGTTCTGTGGCTGAGTGGGGAAAATTATTGTTACAACAGCAAACAAACACACAATGTATATAGAGGGGTGAGTGAAAATAACACTCAAACGCCAATAAAATTAAACATGAGAATGATTTGAAATCCTAAACCAAAGCTAACGCAGAAATAGGAAAACAAGACATTTACTGACGTGGCATGACTGAAAGAATTAAATTAACCAAATTAATCATAAACTACAACCAATTCAGAGCAACACATAAGAATCCAAAAGCAGTGTTTTGTGGGACACCCACCTGTTTGACAACCTGGAGACAAATCAAAGCTGTGGATTAAAAGAGTTTAGTATGAAAGAGAAGCCACCTTCTGTCATCTAACTAATTTCAACAGCGCTGATAACATTTCAGCTTTCTTGGATTTTTTCTCAGGCAGGAAAGCAGGCCAAAAAAAAAAGAGTACAACATGTTTTCAGAAGTGCTGGCAGCACTCATGTCACCGTCTCTGTGTCCATGGACACTTGCTTCTGCCTGCACTTCAGAATGTTAGTACAAGTGCAGTAGCATTAAGACTGCACACAGTTGTCCTCTATTTATGTTCTGGTGATGCTGTGCACTTAAAAGCTTTGCACTTTAGTCCACATTGTACAAACCTTTTCTCATGGCTCTGTAAGGGTGAGCCTCTTAACCGCTGTTGGCTTCTTTGCTGACATCAGACCAGAGGAGAAGCAGAGGTACTCGTCACGGGAAACGTCGCATCCATGGGCGATGAAAAGACAAAGTCAGGGTTGGAGGTGTTGCACGATGAGCTGGTTTGCTCGACGGTTATCCCCAACCTGCGCGTCTGTTCACAGAGGGCAGTTTACGTTCGGAAAATTTATGCACCATTTGTGTTGGGGAGAATTCAGACTCTCAGGTGCATTTAGAGGCTCCAGCAAACCCGACAAGGTCAGAAAACTAATTTTTGTTTTGCTATATTTTTGCTTTATTGTTTCCGTCTGCAGCTTCATATTTTACCAATCTGGTTGGGGAATTTCAACACATAATTCTCAATGAGGTTGTGCCTGAAAATCAACACTGACTGTGAGTAGCTGAAATGTGGAGTAGGAAAATGTGACTACTTCACAATAAAATAAATGTTTTTTCAATGGTTTTGGTTTGTAATCTCTCACATTCACTAAACGCTGAGAGGTATAAAGTTAAAAGCAGGAGTTTACATTAGAGGTATGTGATACTGAATATTTTGACGTCAATCCGATAAATACAAGGCCTGTATCGCTGATACTAATACAGATACTTATAATTTAAGTGTGACATATCTTCAAATATCTCACCATTAGCTGTTTTTCTGACTAAATTCCTGTGAATTATTTAGTTAAAACCTGGGACAGAATTTAGATAAAGTTTACAGGTGTCTACAAAGTCATTTAATAACATAATAAACTGAAACAATAGGAAAGCAAAACAAATTTGTGTGCACTGTTTTCAAAATAAAGCACAAAAAATATTATTTGTGAGTAAATTAATGGCAAATTTCAAGAGGGAATCTGAAACTAAAGTATTGATTTTATTGTGCTAGTATTTATCGGATACTGATACCGACTTGCTATCGATATTATCGATATTGTGGATTGAGCCACCCACAACTAGCTTACAGACATCAAATAAAAAGACAAAACCTTTTATTTTCTCACTGTCTGAAACTAAATAAGACCAAATTTTTATTGCTTTAGGCCAGTTAGAATTACCCAAATTATTCCTATGTGCTAAATAATAATAAGAGAAAGAATATGTGAGAGATTTATTCATTAGTGTCTTCAAAGTCAGACATGCATTTTCTCAGTGTTTGCTAGCACTGACTTGAATTCAAACGGTTTGGGGTATCCTCCCACAATCTTACAAGGATAAAGGAAAGAAAAATGCTAAGTTTTCTCTTCAGACTCAATTGACGAAAGCTAACAGATGAGATTTCCAAAATTTCCACTTAAAATTATTATTCAGCTACTGCTAGGTAATTGGCTGCTAAAACCTTTTTCCAACAACAAGGGTTCATCAGGCTATCTCTGAAGTCCAGCTTCCTTCTCTCTGCATGTTACAGGAACCTTTGACTCACTGATGACATCAATCAGGATCCGAGTGCCGTCAGAAACGTGGCACGTCGCTCTGGGTGTCAGAGGTCGGCAGGGAAGAATCAGTGAGTACCGTCCTGTATCAGAAACAAACAGATCGAGGGTCAGGACCGTCAGCTCCAGAGACGTGACTGTGACGACAGTTTATGGGCTCCGAGGATGTGAGGGGAATAAATCAGCCCTGTTTGTCATGACCCATGGCTGGGTTTTTTTTTTTTTTTTTTGGTGACCATCTACGTGTTCAGTTTCATTTTCTGTGTTGATTATTGTTAATAGGTTTTTGCCAAATGAGTTCATTTCTTTGTGCTTGGTTTAGTTATTGTGTGCTGTTCTTTGTGTGTTTTACGTGGATCATTAGCTGCGTTTCCAGGACAAATGTGTGCAAAATTTTGTTGATACTCCCCTAATGTTGAAAAAAGAAATCGTAACTGCATTGTTTCCTTTCCATAAGAAACGCAATTAAAATCACACATGAATAAGTCATGAAAAAACATGCTCCTCCTTCCACATCCTGACGTCTTCTTCGTCTTTTACATCGGTTGTAACATCTGGTTGTAACATGATCACGTGACTCGTTTTTCAATTGCAGTTCTGCGAAAAACACTAAATTCGATGCAGCCAAAAAATCACCCCATCCGACTAAAAAAACCGTCTTACTGAAAACGGGTTATTTTATTTTTTATTTTATTTCAGAATTGACAAGTTTCCAATAATTGAATTTATTTTTGTAATTCCAAGCAATTTTACTGCCAGATGAACAGCTGCTTGAGTTGGTCTTCTTCCCATTGGTTTGCAGATCATTTTGTACCCAAGTTGAGCTCTTTTTAATGTCACTGTCCAGTATGAATATGTTCTGTCTTTTTTTCCTGGTTCTTGCCTCTTGTATACATTTTGAAGCATTTCAAACATCTGACGTAACATTTGCATCTCTTACAATTACATTTGAAATCTGTAATTGGGATTCGAACTACCGCATTCTGGTTTCGGTCGAATTATTCACGATGCTACTGGAGTTTTGTGGTTCCCGTTCATCAAAGTTCCTCTTGTCGTGGCGATCCCATCAGCGAATCGGAATTCGCTTGCGGCAACGAAAATGATCGTTACCCCGTGCTCGCTATCCATCAGTAAAGTCAGCAGAGCAACAGTTTTGGTCCGAATCCACGGAAAGAAAAGAGAGAAAGAGAGAGAAAAAAAACATCAGTTGTAATTAGGGGCTACATCAGCTTGGGGTTGTATGTTTTCTTCCTCACATGGGAACCCGGCGGTACACGGTCAAATCCTGAGGCTTCAGTCACAGACGAAGCTAAAGTGCAGCTGCCACTGTGGATTAGACCTGAAGGGAAAAAGGCACATCCTGGGTGGTAATGCTCTTGTGGTTTGGTTGCAGCTTTGAGATGGGCTGCCGTCAGTATCCTGGATGTTGTTCAGAGGGCTGCGCAGTTTGAGGTCCACTTTGAAGTCTGGGTGTGGGAAAAGCCACGATAGGCAGCGTTCCGGTCAGTATAGGCAGGGGCTATTACATGGAAAACAGGGTGTTTGCACTTGTTGGTCCTGAATGCTTCATGTCACAAGCACATATACAGAGGAAGTAGCACATAGTCGTTTCATATAGTTCATTAAAAGAGGCAGGGATGTTTTATGTGATGGATTCCTGAAGGAAGGTCACGGAATTAGGGTTAAATGATAGAGCGGTGTGATGAGACCGAAACGTCCCGCTATAATAAAATGCTGAAAATATTTCTGCTTGGCCAACCCAAACATTAACAACATGGAGCCGACGATGATATCCAAGTGCATCCCTGTTCCCCCCTCCCCTTGCAGAGGTAAATGCTTCAGAGTAAATCTTTTAAACATGGTGGGATTTGTGCGGGTCAGCGTCCGTGCTGGCAGGACTGTGATTACGGCCGACCCGAGTGAATATTTGACATGGCAGAAATGGAAATTAAGGATGTGAGGAGGATAAAACGCGAAACCAACAGACGTGTAATTAGATGAGTGCCGCGGCTTTTTTAGGCCGTAGTGTCTTGTAAGCGCTGAAGTCACATGAGGACGTGCACGGTTCTGGTGGAGGGGGATGATTACATATGGAAAAAAATAAATAAAATTAAAAAGAGACGTGTACAGGTGATGACTTCAGTTGATTTCTGTGAGGATTAATAGCCAGAGGAAGTCCAGGAAAATCAATGGAGAATAAAACACTGTCCTATATCTTTCTGCAATTGATCAGCAGGCAGAAATTCTCCTTCAGGGTACAGAAGCAGGAAGCAGCGACGCGTTTTGGCGGCCATCAGTGAGTAATAACAATGAGAATCAGGCTATATGAGGGTATTGTATGTCTACGGGAAAAAAATGTCAAAAAACCGGGGTCCAATTTTAAAAGTGGTGCAACAGAGAGATCTGATATGTAGACCAATATTAGCTTGATCGCTTGACAAAAACAAAAACCGGGATCCTGCAGGCTCATGCAGATTTATGGTTAAACAAACAAAAAAAAAATTGCTGACATGTTATTGCAACTATAAATCAGAATAAACTGCAATTTTATTGTTGATGTGATTGGAATGGCTATGTTATGTAGATAACTGCATATTGGCTCTAAAAATAATTAACCCAGACAGAGAGACGAATCAAAAATGAAGCCTTGAATTAATTTTTTTATAACTGGGCAGCTAATATTTAATCCAGTTCAATTCAGTTCACAACAAATGTCATCTCTAGACAATTTCCATAAAGGTCAAGTCAATTCAATTCAATCATGAACACAGAGTCAAAGTCAATAGTATGCATTCCAATACGACACCAGCTACCAAACAATACAGTCAGGTTCAATTTGTTGTCCTAATTGGTTAAAGCATTTCTATCTAAAGACGCCCAGTAGACCGCACTGAGCGACTGATAGTGGAGAGTCAGCTGCGTCAAGTTGTTGACTTTGCAGCAATCCCTCATAATGACAGCGGAAAAGTAAACTTCCCCTTTAACAGAAAGAAAAGTCCACAAAGAACCCGACTCCGTGTGAGCGTCCGTCTACCATGACAGGCAGGGGCTTTGAGACAACTGAGTGTATAAAAAAAAAGAAACAGTGATTTTTTTGTTAAATAAATATCTTCTCTTTAAATTACTGGTCACAATTCAGTGAGAATAAAATCCTTTAATCTTTATGGATTGCATTCAGTCGTGCAAAACGCCTGGTTGGACCTAGCTCCGCCTTTAAGGCAAAGCTCCGCCTCACAGAGCAGCTCCTCCTGACACTCAATCAGTTCCTTCAGACTAGTCAGCAGCGATTAGTGAACATCTTCCCATCTGCTGAGTCCATCATAGGAGCTACTTCACAGTACAACGCTGGTAAAAAAAAAAAAAAAAAAAAAGTTTTTAAAGGGTCAAAGAGGAACGATGTGATGACTTCCTGAACTCAGAGTTTCAGAAAGAGCAGGAGTTTTTAAAGACACAGAGGCCCAATTTCAAAGTGTTAAATTAGAAAGTCAAATTTCTTCTCAGTCATATTTTATATTTATAGCATTTCTATAACAACTGAAGCCAAAGTCATTTGATTGTACTATAAAATGCCAATATGTGCCTGGAAAACACACTGCCCCTTCAAATCTTTAGTGAACCCAGTGATACAAAAGTCCCACTGGTTGTGGATTTGGACCAGCAAACACTTGTAATGTCTCACTTTACAGCACCTCATCATCCATCCATTTACCCTCACTTGGAAGGTATTTTTTATATTTTGCACACAGCAAACATTTCCCACTATAAAGGTATTTCTAAACAGAACAAAGTGGCATCAGTTAATTAGCTGTACGAAACAGTGAAAATGAGGACGTGAAGATAAGGTTCGGATTAGCGATACCAAGACACAATCCTTTAATCTTGCTCTCAGTGTCTTTGCTATAATACAGTGAGCCAGATGACATAAATATTGCACTATTTAATGAAGTGCTTAAGAGTTTCCTGCATGGACTCTAGTGTAGTGAATCGAGTGTGCTGAACCTGAAGTACAGCCTTCCATGAACTCGGTGTTAACAAATGCATAAAGATTGATTTAACTGTCTAACCCGATGAGGAATAACATCAGGCTTTTTAAATCTGAACTACGTTCATAAACACAACTTGCTCTCCCTCGGAGCTGGAAACCGAGAGGACATGAGATCCGTTACAAGAGCCTAAACAAAGCTGCTTTATTCTGGAGATATAGCAGCTCTGTTTGACACAAACGAGGAGTGCTTCACTGAGTTGTGTGTCCCTTTCAGGTCATATTGGGATTGTGTTTCTCTGAGACATTCCACGAAGACCTGAAGATAAGGTTTGGATTAGCGGCTTCCTCTTCTTCAACAGCGGTATTATTTTGAGAGTCTTTATTTAGCAGAATGAGGGCAAATACATTTGTCAGTTGTAAATTCTGGCTAGTGCCTTTCTGCTTCACTCTCACGTTAACGTTATCGGTTTCAAACTACAGTGGACCTCAGTTCAGTATTCCCACATTCAGCTATTCGTGGATATTTCTGTGGAACGTACCAAAAAATTTAATTAGTCACAGATTTTTTTTGTTTGGAGAGCATGTGTAAAACATTCAAAATGAAATGCAACTTGTGAAGTTGAGATACTTTGGCACAATGCTGCTTGACATGCTATTAGCTGGTGTTTACAAAGCAGCCAATCCGGGAGCACCTTTCATTGTTCTTAATAATCATTGGCGGTACCCAAAAGAGTGGCGAAAGTTAGCTTCTGCGGTACTGCCAAGGTGGTTTCCACTGTAGATATTACTATATATTCAACTATTAAAACAGGTATTGTTTTTAGAGGAGATCTCAAGTACTACTTATGGGGAGTAAACTCTAACCCACATGGATACTGGAGGTCCTCTGTAAACAAACACGATACAGCAATGAATATTGTTGAAGATACTTTCAGTTCTCTATGTCGTCAACTGTATTTTTCTTTCAAATTTTCTTCAATTTTTTCCATACAAGAGATTTCTTCAACAATTTGAGTCCATTGGTTAGAGCTGATAGGTCCCGTTTCCTTATTTATTCTTTTTTTTTCAGTTCACTGAAATTTAGCAAGATATTCATCTCTTCCTTGTATATATCCATTTTCTACACTTGCTTGACCATTCAAAGTCACGGTTGGGTTGCTGCCTGTCTCCAGTAGTCATTGGGCGATAGGAAAGGTTCACACTGTCCAGTGTCACCGGACTCCCTAATACATATTCATCTGAAAAATTACCAAGATACATAAAGGAAGCATTCAAAAGCCGATTATACCAAGATTCTTTCCTAATTCATTGTTTATGTTTTACCAAAAAGGTCTTAGACTTCTCCTAGATACGTGATCCAGCTGTTGCCTCCCAATATGGATTTTTTTCAAGCTTCTTGCTGTGCATGTGTGACTTAGTTTCCTCAAACAGCCCAAAAACATGCATGCTAACTCACCTGGATGTCCTAAAGCTTTAGTGTGGACATATAATGTTGTGCTACACTGTAACAGACTGCCGATCAGTATGGGTGTACTCTACCCCGCAACTGCTGACCATTAAAGAGACAAACCACAACTTTGAAGAAGGTTACATTTTATTAAAAAATTAATGGTTTAATAGTCAAGCCCGATCTGCAACCAGGTTTATAAATTCACATTTACAATTTGTCCTTTTTCTTACATTCATGCTGCATTTGAGGCCTTAAATCTGCTAACTTCACTTTTCTCTAGATTGCTAGTTTTTTGTTTGTTTGTTGTTGTTTTTTTTGAGTCACATCTGCTTGTTGTTAAGCTGGATTAAAGATTCTGTATGGAGAAACAGAGCTGGAGTTCTGCTTCATTCATACTGCAGAACACACCCCGAGGTGTCACAGAGGTCTAATTGGCTGGGATGTGATAGTATAAACTTTGAGTATTTAACCTCTGCTTTTCTTACCTAGAGTAAGCTGTGCAGTCGTTGAGTCTCTCCCTGGTTCTGTGGTCACAACCACAACAGGACTGTGTATATGTCTATGCACAGCATATTGTGGTTCAATATGTAAGGGGATTTGCTCTATAAACAAAAGTCGGCATCTGAGTCAGCGGATGAAAAGTGAGTTTGTCATTAGAGAGTGAGTGGATTTAGAAAAAAATAAAAATAAAAAGACCAAAGTGAGTTTTGTTCAAATTACCCAGTGTGTTTACTCCAACACATCTGGGACACACTTCTCTTTGCCAAAGGAGTAGAAGACAATAAGACACAGCTTGGTATGAAACAATCCTTCAAGCGTTACACTTGTGGAGTCAATAATTTAGTAAATGCCACAGTTTGGGCCAAATGGAGATGAATTGATCACGAGTAAGCGACTGAAAAAAAAAATACATAGCTAAAAGCTAAACGGTTGTATAATTTTGTCAGGGAATAATGTGATCAGCGTCTTTCACGAACGTCTGAAACCGTGCTCCTTTCTTCCCAACCGCATGCACACGATAAAAATGAAACTTTCTGCTGGAAATGTCACATTTGTTCAAATTCAGCATAAATAATTAGCATGCAGTTATACGGCTGCACTGACATCCTGTCTGTAAACATCATGGTCAAAAAAACACCAGTCCAACCCACGCGGGGAACTAGCCAAACTTTGCGCCAAGAATGCTGACACAGCTCGTTCTTTGGGTATACAAGGATTGGAAAGCCCTTAAAAGTAAACCAAAAACACATAAACTCTCGCAGCACCTCCAATAAAACAACACCAAAACTCCCGGGACAACCAGGCAAGTCTGCATGGGTAAGATCTGGACCACTGTTGAAGATCAAGATTTGATCAGACTCTCCTTTCCAACACCCTAGAGCAAGTTTTGCTTGATAATTAGAACAAATATTCTGGTCAGCATTCTTAGAAAATGGTAGCACCACTTTGGTTTGGCACTCCACAGCTGTACCTGCTTTTCACAAGACATTAAAGGGGTAGTAATAAGTAAAAATCGACTGTTTTGAGCTTTACATCATGTTACAAAGTTATTTCTTCATCTCCTAATCTCCCATGGTACAACTGTGCAAAACACTTGAAGCGACTGAGCACCGCCTTCGAGGACGAAGCTCCTCCTCTGAGTTGCAGTTTCTGAGCTTCCACCTCACAGAGCGGCCCTTCCTTACGACTCCCCCACTGAGCTCCTTCAGACTAGCCAGCAGCAATTAGCAAACACTTGGTAGAACTGTGGATTTGCTGAGCTCATCATATGAGCTACTTCTCAGTGCAAAGCTGCTAAAACCATTGTTGAAGGGTTAGCAGAAGAGCGATGTTGTGACGACTTCTTGAAAACAGAGCTTTCAGAAAGAGCAGGAGTTCTTAAACTTCTGCTCCTGAAGCCCAATTTGAAGGCGTTCAATTATGAAGTCAAATTACTTTTATGTCAAATTTGACATATGCAGGACTTTTTATAACAACTGAAGGTAACATAGCTACTTAATTGTGTTATAAAATGGCACTGGAAAATGTTTCTGGAAAATACATCGTCACCTTCCTAAAATAATGAGACAATAAGGTGGCCTAAGTCTTTTTTTTTTTTTTTTTGCCTAAATCGTATTTTAATAATAATAAAAAAAGAGGTGGTGATTTGTTTGGTTTAGGCCATTATTTTAGAAAAGTGTCAACATAATGCTGCCCCTTTTTAACTATAAAAGTTATGTCAGCCAAGTAAACGCCACATTGTCCAGAATGCTCAGTATCTCGGGTCACTTTCATCCGACTCACTTGACATGTACAGAAACATATATGTCAAGTGAGTCATGAAAAGAGACACGGCAACGATAAGTAAAAGGAAATTAGTGCTCATTGAAAATATGAGTTTTCCATCATCTTACACTGAACAGTGTTTTCTGATATTTTTTTTTTTTTATCTAACAGTGAAATCTAACCTCTCGTATGTCGGATAGCCTTTTCTCCAAGACTCCCGTCCCGTTTTGGCAAATTCTAACTGATACGAAATAATTCCTCTAAATTATAATATGCTATAAATGCAGCCTGCGACAGCTCATTCATTTCGGGGACCGCAGACAACTGCAAGTTTAGAGGCTTGGATCCAAGTTTGTTTTCTCTGGGAGGATTTTTTATTTATTTATTTTTTTTAAGTCTCCGCGGGGGAGTCGGGTTAAGCGTCTGTCGGCTTTGCCCACAACTTCCTGTTCAATCCTGCCTCTGTGAAGGCGGAAACCCAAAACCAGCCATCAGTGCGAAGACACAGCTTGTTCTTATCAACACCGGCGCAGGGAGATTTACACCGTTTGTTTTCAGACTGCCTACTATTAAGCCTTAAATCACCCGTGTCCCCGTATGATTAGGGGGGAACAAACACCTCGTGTTAATGACAAGCAGCGAGACCATTCATCACTTCTGGAATGATTTGTTGTTATTGATGCATTAAATGTGGCAAGAACAACAACAAAAAAAAACATTAAGTAAATTCTTAATGAGCCTCTGGCCAGACTTATTAATAACTCGCTTCGCTAGAGTTTGGGCACTCTCATTCAAAAAAGAAGCGCAATCTTTTCCTTTTTCTGCTCTGAGTAGATTCCACAACAGGCACTTTGATCAAATCTACCCTCGCATGGCGCTTTGAAGACCTTGTCTCCTGCAGGCAGAGATTGCTGCCTCAATTGTTCTTGCTTGGTGATTTAAATAAAGAGAGTCTCCAAAGCCACACGGCTCTAAATATGTATTTCTACTGTTCTAATTAGAGAGTGTCTCTGGAGCGGGCACCGAGCCCAGGATGAGGGATGGCTAAATATACCAAAACAAAAACAAAACTTCCAAATGGAAAATTATAAACATTTAGACAGAGCTGTGGACAAAAATTGAAAATATAGCTGGTAAGGTGACTTTTGTGTGTGTGTGTCTGTGTGTTTGTTTTACTGGAGGAGAAGCAGGGCAGAGACAGGAGGCTGTGGTGCGGCTGCACACTTTGAGAACGGCGAGCGTGGAGCACAAAGTTATTGGGGAGAAAAGCACACAGGAAAAAAAAAAGAAAATAAAAGAAAACTTCAGCAGAGGATCCTCATTCCAAAATGGGTTCATCTGGTTTGATGTGAACCTTGATCTAATTAATGTGCTTTCAGTCGTTGACAGAAGCAGTGATCAGTCAATAAAACATCGTCAGTTTTTCTTATGTAATAAAAACAGAAACCCAACATTTCTCCCTAATGGCCACTTTATTAGCTTCTACTGTTCAAATTGACTGCACAAATAGTAAATCAGCCAATCACATGGCAGCAAATAGGGGTGCACCAATTGCAGTTTTCTGGCCGATCGCTAATTACCAAGCTTTTAAAAAGCTTAACCTTCTGATTCCGATTTTGGCCGATACCCTTTTCTTTTTTGTCTGAAATGTTGCTCAATATAGCAAGACAGTTGTTTGGCATCAGTGGGGTCACTGTTGCTAACTGTAAATGTGCAGACATAACTTGGTGGGCCGGTCTGTCAGTCAAACCTTTCTCACCGGAGAGCAAAAGAGGACAGTGTTTGATTCATTCACATTTGCCAAGCTAGATAAGACCGGTGGATAAGATCGGCTTCATATGTAAAAGTCGCCCGATTACCGATCTCCCAAAATGAAGGAAATCGGCGACGATAAACTGGTGCACCTCTAGCGAGTGGCAACTCCATGCTCGATGAGGTGAAGACAAATAAATTTCAGGATGAGAAAAGTGACCAAGTGTTGCAGAGTGACATGTCAGTAGCTCTAATAAGCGCTTGGTACAACACAGGTGTCACCATTGTTGGGCTCACAGTGCAGATAGGATAGGCTTCAGCCGCAGACCACACAGAGTGCGAATCGGGACCGGCGAGAACACGGAAAAGAGTTTCGACAAACTTACCAAAGTTAAAACTGATGAAGTGTCTGAGTTTAAAATGTGGTTAGTTGAATTTACTGAGATACTCCATTTGAAGACATTTTGATATGATACCTTGACCTCTGCTAATAAGTTCTGTAGTGTCTGGCAGCCATTTTTGGACCATCTCATCCAGTCTAAGGTTGATCCCAATGCTCACTCAGCCTTTATAGACAGGTGGTTCCATCCTGGAGTGTAAATGGTAAACTGTGCAGTGTAACCAGCTATTTAGATAATTGCTGACTCATTTTTATTCATTGTTGATTTATTATTTTTTTTAGTTGTTGTCTGTTTTTATTTTCATTTTCCCTTATTGGTAACAGTATCTTTTTTTTCTTATACAGTAGTATGTGGAATATATGTTTTATACTCTTGTGTATGATTTCTCTATTCTACTTTGCAAAAGAAGGTAAACACAGCTATTAGGGGAAGAGTTATTAAAACCACCTGGAGATATTCAAATATAAACTGATTCATAAATTGCTTTCATGGTTTATGGGAAAAATCATCAGCTGTGAGTGCAGCTGTAAAGGCGCATTGTTCTGCTTCAAATTTGTAAGGAGGGATTTCAAAATAAAGTGTAGGAACATGACAGGGAATCAGCTACACATGGCTTTACTGGCTGAACACACTATTTTAGTGTTGATCAACTAAAAAGCATTTACAGAGGAAATTTTTAACGCATGAAATACATGAGATTCTTTGTTTTGCACATGATGTTTTTCTGTTCTTGAGGAAAGTGACACGGCTACATTCACATTCGGCTGAAAAAAAAAAAACTCCAGCTGTAGCATAAAATTTAATAACAGTAAAAGTAGATTTCTTGGCTTTTGGTTCATTGGTTTCCCGTCTCTCCAGAATTACACACTTACATGGGTTAAGAAATATAATCACAACGGAATTCAGAATAATAAAAATGGAAAAATGAACATGAAGAAGTCTTCATGAATGGTTATGACTGTTGTCATGAAGTGTCATTGGGTAAATAATGACACTTTTAGAGCAAAGTTGACACATTTAATGGATTTTTAATGCAAGTTTTCATACAACTAAGTGTCATTATTTACCAAGTATCACTTCATGACACCCCTTGCCTCCATGCTGCAGCCAGTTAGCATCGTTTTGCTTAGCTTGTCTTCTGATACAAGAGCAGGCCACATGCAGAAACATATGGAAGCCTGTGTGTGTTCACATCAACCACTGCAGGACGATCCTGTTTTATTGGAGTGATAAATACAACTCACTGAACCAGGCTTTGGATGATAAATATTTATAGCAAGGACGGTTTATAGGAGTTTTGTTTTTAATCTAGAAAGCCGTATCTGCTCTCCACAGCCATATCTCTTCTAGTATTGTTCGTAAATAATCAGGAAAAAATGTCCCGTTTCTTTATTCTGGAGCTGCCCCTGAAAGCCCGTGCCAAGTCCGAGCTCAAATCAAACGTTTTCGAGGAAAGTTGGCTGTGCGTTCTCGGCGAGAGCATACCAAAGTCTGTCAGGGTCCAACCTCTTCTTTCACGGAGCTCAGAATTCAAGTAAGGCTCCAAACTCCTTCTTCTTCCTTCTTTTTTCTGAATGATTTAGATTTAAACAACGTCCTCAGTAATAACCACGCACAAATGCTTTTCATATATTTCAGTGTATGAGAGATAGCCTAGCTGCGGTAAATGATGGGGCTTCTCTAATGGCCAATAGTCATCCCTTAAACTGTCACTTCACAGCAGAACCCGACCTTCAGACTTCTGGACCCAAATGAAATCCTTCAGGAAGGAAAAAGTTTTTACTGCGAACACATTTACCCTCACCGACCTCGGATGACTCCAATCTTCCCTTCCTGCAAAATATCCTTCCTTCGGGATTCGAGATCCTCCGGCTCACCTGACACACCTGGGAACCGAGTGTGTGCGTGTGTGTGTGTGTGTTTGTGAGTGTGTGAGAGGTTTTTTTAAAATATTTTTTGTAAGGTTGGACTGCGTGAGGCGCTGAGGATTGCACACGTTGCTCCAAAGTCTCTAACAGATGAATTATGTCAGCAGAAGAATGTTAGAGTTTTTATTAGCTCAAAGGCAAACCGTGCGCTCACGTCCAAGCTGCTTTATTAATTTGACGTCTGTAAAGCTGCGGACTTGGCGACGTTACAAAAAAATAAAATAAAAAATCTCTTGCTATGATAAAATTCTCCTCACAATGAAAACAATCGTCATAGGAAATCGAGCGTCTGCGGTGGCAGCAGCTTCACGTGCATTCCAGCAGATAATGGGAAATAAAACGGATGCCTTAAATGCTAATGCAGACCGGCCGCACCGTCTTTCTCACATGTTGTCCTTTTTGCACATAAAGTCTGAACCGATTAAAGCTCGAGCCGAGCAGCGAGGGAAAACGCTTTATCGTTTCTGTTATGAGCAAAAAAAAAAAAAAACACACACAAAAAAAAGAGCAATTTACATTTTTCCTTCTCGGTGGAGACTTTACTCCAGATGGACAGCAAAGTGTTGGATGGAGATAAAGCGCAATAAATCTAGCTGATTGTGCATTTCTACAGACATCCACCTATCTTGAACTTTTCTCTTTGGAGCAGCTGCAGAGCAGAGTCTGAAACCGCTGACCAAATGTAGCATAGTGATAAATAAAACTGAATGCTGAGGAAATGGGATATCCCAACATCCTTTTTACTCCTTTTTTTAATGTAGCAAAGTCTTAAAAGTACAGTAAAATACTTGAGGTTTGTCATTTTTTTTGTTAATAAAAATTTTTAATTCAGCCTGCTAGAGAGGACAAAAAAAAAACAGTTTCTTGCAACACTTCCACACCTTTTAGAGTTCTGGACAGCACAAAAACGTGTTGAGTGGCAGCTGTGTGGACGAAAACGCCTTGCTTATATCAAAGGTCAGAGGAAAATGGACAAAAATGGCTCTAACGACAACCGGTCGTTAGAGCCAAAGAGTGTGGAATCTCTGAATTCACACATCGCTTTGAGCCTTAAGCAATAAAGGCCACACAATATGTCAATGCTGTTGCCTTAGAACAGCAAAGCAAGATGACAATTTGCACAAGTTCACCAAAAACAGTTTGGTGAAAAAAAAAAAATGTTGCCTGGTCTCAATTTTAGCTGCAACATCCACATGGCACGGAGAGAATTTGCCACAACCAACATAAAAGCATGAACCATCTGCTGCTGTCCTCTAATGCAGTGGTCTCAAACTGCATTCCTCAAGGACCAGAGCCCTGCTGCAACTTTTTGATGTCTATTTGCTTCAGCACACCAGGCTACAAGTCTGAGCTAGTTAGCAGAGCTCTGCAGCACTTGACTGCATGCTAGGCTACGTTCACACAGCAGGCCTTAATGCTCAATTACAATTCTTTGCAAAATTCGGTTATTTTTCTTTTTGCGCGTTTGTTCACATTTCCAAATACATTGGACTTGTGTGTGATATCCTATGTGAACTGCAAACGCCCTTAAAGTGTCCCGCATGTGCAGTAAAAGGCGCAGTAATGTCACATGTGGCGAGCGTGTTTACGTAAGAAACATGGATGGTAATGGTGAAAAGTGTTTTGCGATGTAAAGTGAACTTTATTAGTATTATTTTTAAACCTTCATTTAACCAGATACAAACCCATGGAGGCTTAATTTTTTTAAAGAAGTTAATGTGCTGACTCTGGTTGGTCAACAACTTTAAAATCGCAAGATACGCTCCACCATTACCATCCATGTTTACTTCAGCAAACACTGAGCACGTAACGTTACTGCGCCCTCTACTGGACATTTTTGCAGTTCAATTTAAAGTTCATTTACTACTTAATCCACATTATTGTTTGCCAGGGTTGTTGTTTTTCTTCCCACTTGCGTATACCAGGATGCAGAACAGCGACGATTCTCGAGTGGCAGCGGTGTACAGGTCGGATGAATGCGAAAAAAAAAAAAAGGGTCACATTTGAAAATATCGGGTTTAGGACCACATATCCAAGCAGCCGGTGTCGTTTTTGTAAAAATCCAGTCAGTGTTGTTCAGGCTGTTGTGAAAAGAAACAACTTGTTGAGTCTATCCTACAGAAAACTAAGGCAGTGCTGAAGGGCGATGGGTGCCCCAAGCCTGGTACGTCCAATGCATAGAAACAGACGTCAGGGTGGGTTTCTCTGAGACACACTCTGTCTTTAAGGCCTCTCTGAGTGTATGGAAGATTATGGATGGCTTGTAATAGCCCTCCATTATCTTCATAATCACTGGGAAGAGTCGTTATCCTGCAATCAGAAGATTGAGAGTTTTGTAGATTTGCTTAACCACACTGGGTAAGACCGTAAAAGCCCGACTTGCCTACTGATCTGTGCAGTGGTGCATCAGTGTGTGCGAATGCAAGTAGCATTCATGGCTGAGGAAGAGCAGCAGTAGGAGGAGTTTAACAGACCCACTGAGGAGGCGAGGA